GAGGGATGTGAGATGGACACAGCAATTCTCGACAAACCCTCATCTCCTGCTGGACTCTGTGATCTCCGTCCGGGAGACTGATGAGCCAAAATCCCAAAGCCTGAACGCTTCATGTCGTATTTGACCCCGTCTGCCCTCTCGCCAGCGTCAGTCTCTCCTTCACCCTGTCGTGATGAGCGTCGCATGGTCCCTGTTTGTCAAGTCTCCATACGGGACAATACCCAAACTGGCATGGCGCTCGTTCTAGTCTGTTCTTGCACCTCTGCCGCACGCCTCCCATGCTGATTTTCATCCTAATCCAACGCTGCTCCATTCGCGATGCTGCCTGGAGGAAATAGTACGGAGTCAGGGAGTATTGCGGAGCACATGTACATTGTACGTCGCAGAGACGAGAGGCACTGATAAATACGGAGCTTGGCCACTCTCCCGCGGATCGACAAAGGGGGCTCACAGGGAAGACAGCCAAAACAAAGCAAGGCTCACGGTCTGGCATGTCGTTGCATTACACGAATCCGACGAGCAGGGGAGTATTTCTTGCGACAAATTGGAAACTATTAAATTTATAAAATCAATACAACAAAGCCCAAGTCGACAGTGACAAGCCAAGGGCTGTAGGGAGTAGATTCAACCTGTCAGTGGCAAGTGTTGACATACTGATGTTACGATGTACTCTTCACCACTTGTCGAAACAAGAAAGACACACAGACCACAGAACAGGCTTTTGAAAAGGAGGAGGGGTGCAATGTCCTTCTGTCAGTGCACCGGAGACGCATTGAGGCATTGTTGCGCAGCCCGCGACAATGGGCGAGACGCCCAGGCCAAGAGGGCAAATGACACGGACCATTTTATTTCCAATTTCATTTCCAATTCCACTACGCAGCAACCCACGAGTGACGTTTGTACGTCGTCAATTCGGGAGAAAAGGCACGTAGACGGCGTAAACAACCGGTGCAACGAAGAGGAAAACACAGACAGGGATGGCCGTTGAAGACAAATAACACTGTCGAAAAGAAGCGAAAAGAAGCGAAATTGTTCTAATTTTTATTAAAAAAAAACCGTGGAGGATGCACGGTGCACGGTTCGCGATGCGGTCTCGTTTTCTTGCCTATTCTTCACGTTTCGTTCTGCAGTTTTTTGCTTCATTTCGGAAGAAAGACTGATCTACAACCTTAAAAAGAACGGCAGCACACAAAAGCGCAGATGCACATACAATAAACACAGCCCACCTCTCCCTCTCCCTCTCCCACGGACACGGCGGACACGGGCGGAGGGCAAACGAAAGTAATAGTCGTCGCAGATAACACATGCAAGGGGAGAGAAAAGCGCCAGGCAGCCAAGGGACGCTCGGGCGACACAGACGGGCAAAAAAGCTGGTTCGGGACCTCATGGTTGTGCAGCAATATTTCGACGCAGCAAAAAAAAAAAAAAAAAAAAAAAAAAAAAAACAACAGGAACGGAACGGGATAAAGCACGACATCGTGCGGGACGGCTGGAGGCACATTGTGTGCCGTGTTGGTACGTTTATGGTGAAGAGATGGCCCAGAGGCAAATCAGCAGAGATGAAGGACGGTCTCGTCAATATGGGTGAGATTGGGGGGAAAGAGAGAGACAAAAGACGAGCGCAAAACGACAAGACGCGAAACCTGGGTCCTGCAGGGAAGATCAAACTGCGGTCCCTTGAGAGTGCCCGGCCAGAGGACTCGATTGGACAATGGAAACACCTTGCTATAGCGAGAGGTGTGTTGTGTGGTCATGTCCTTATCTTTGCCTTTGGTCCTTGGTTTCTCAGCACAGCCGCGTTTCGCTCGACAACTTGCACGAGAAGGCTGGAAAGCGACAGGACGGAGCAAGCCGTCGTACGAAGTACATCGTAGGTCGATGCTGTTCCTCGTCGGCTTGTTTTGCCGAGTCACTGCATGAGCCTTGTCGCCTTCAAGCGAGTTCGCCGTCCACCGGCTGAGCACGACGCAAGACGGACGCCTCGTTGGCCGAAAGAGGCAAAGGACGTACTCTGCATATTTCTTTTCGGTGGCATCTCGACACCATTACCCTTTCAGCTTGCTCGTCGAGTCCATGCATTGCCTGTTTTGGCCGCATGCCTGCTGGATCGGGAAAGGTTTTTTTTTCTTTTTCTTTTTTTTATTTTCTTTCTTTTTCTTTGTTTCTTCTTCTTCTTTTTCTCCGTCCTATCTTCACGACTTCAGCTGCAATCTCCCAGCGCTTTTCTTTCAGCTCCAGCGTCGAGCGCTACGCAAATCATACTTTGTGCAGAAGGACCAGGCCGCAGACGCCCATACTCAAAAAGCGACGTTGTGTACGAAGTTCTCCGTATGATTGTCATTACGTCGTGCTACGACTGTCGATTTTCGTTTTCAGCGCTTTCGTCATCGACTCAGCTTTCCTCTTTGGGGGTTTCAGGTGGGCTGACTGCGTCTCTTCAGTCTTCGGGCTCCCGCCAATCGTTGCTGCTGAGACTGCTGCATATGACCTTGATTCAAATGGCGTCGGAGCCGATCTTCGCTGCTTTCTGTTCTCTCGTTTTGTCCGGCGACAAGACGCTGTAAATGGCTCACGATACGAAGCAAAGCCACCGAAGGCGGAAGGGGACAAGGGTGAGATGCACACTGCACGCTGGGGCCATCCTCATTTCTGAGAGCATTCCGTCTCAACGCTCTCACATCTTACCCTGAGTGAGATGACAAAAGAACACCGAACCCTTCACGACAGTCGCATGTAATTCGTAAAGACGACAACAAACCGACGCATCGCCTCACCGAAGAGGCAAAGCAAAAAGGGTGGTTCGTGCCTGGTGCGGCAGGGCTGTCGAACGTGAAGTGCGAGCGCCCCTTGTTCCTTGCAGCGACAGATGTTTGAACGGTGTTTCTGACAGGACCGACGTGTTACGAGGCTCCAAAACGAGGCCGCTTAAAGCCGGCCGGAGAGGACCCATGCAGCGACAACATGGCAAGGTGCAATACTGTACGAAGTACCACACGGGCGTAAACAAAGCGGGCGGCAATGACAACGCGAGTAGATTCACAAGTTGGCAACACAATATAAAAAAGGTGTGCCGTGAAGCCCAAGGAGGGCGTGATACTGGGCTGGCCAGCATCGACTCTCTTCTTGTCCTGTCATGGCAGCCAACAGGAATACGAGAAAACAACAACCATCAGACGGGACGGGCGGACAACCAAGAAGCCAGCCAAAATGTGCTACGCCGCATGACTCTGGGGCAGACGACAAGGCTCATGTGGCATCATGTTTTTAGGTTGCACTCGACCTGGTTCTGGTGGTCGCTTTGGCTTTGCCCGGTCAACTCTTACGACCACCCCGACGTGTGAAATTGCCTCGCCACAGCTCAGCTGCAAGTCATTTTACCAGCAGCGCAGCCGAAGGACAGGGCATCGAGGGCATCTCCGAGTTGTCTGAGCCCCCATTGGCCCTATTACGTCGTATGGAGGATCCCTGCTAGTCTCGAAACTTGGACAGCCTCTCTTTCGTTTAAATGATCACAAAACGATCTTATTCTGCAACTCCTGACCGGTTCACCTTGCTCATTTTCCCCTCTTTCTCTTCTTTCTCTTCTTCCCCTTCACTTATCCCCTTTCGATGTTGCCCATTCCGGTTGCCCCAGTTGGCAGCCACACCGAGAACCTGGCCGTGAAGGATCACCAGGTGTGGACGATACAAGTCTGTAAGAAACGGGGCGCAGGTCAAGATTTTTGGTGTGGTTTTATCCACCTCGTGCCCCAGAGGAGCACGAAAATGGACACCACCCATTTGAAAACGTTGCCACTAGTAATCTATGTTCTGAGAAAGGGGCAAAAGGCAAGGCAGCCACAATACATGAGGATAATGCACGAATGGTATGCCGTAGGGCAGAGGCAATGACGAATGCCCAGCAATGCCCAGCATTTTCTGTCGACTGTTCGTCGTGAAATCGTCATTTGCATCGATCATCCCCCCGGGCGCCACGCATAACCGGCTGCCTTTTGCATCTCGTACCGCATCCTCGCCCACCACTCTTCCCAGCCCTGCCCTGTTGTCTTGTTCTCGAGCTGCCGTCCTTCTCCATATCTTGTATTTTTCATCGATGCAAGGTACCAAGCAAGCTGCAGGGTCAAATGGAGAGGGCAGGACGACATCGAAGGCGAATGATGCCAACCGACGTTTCCGCGCCGAACGTGCTTTGTAAGATTACAAGTTCTCCTTTTTCTTCTTCCTTTGATTTGATTAGTTATTCGGCAAAGGCAAGATCCGATCACACAATGATCGGCCTTTTTTCTTTCTTTTTTTCTACAATGTAATACTCGTCTTCTTGCTCACGTCAGCTACGGCCTTTTGACAATGTTGCCGTGTTGAGTGCAACGTCCCTGGAAAAGGGAAGTGCGAGGTGCCTTATCTCACGAGGGACGAACGAAGGATCAAGGCACGTCGCAGAAACACTAAACATTTACGATGGACTTGAGAAGCCCACTAATCCCCACTAAAAGCAACAAAAAAAAAAAAAAAAAAAAAAGGAAACGGGTTTCGAGGCCCTGCGCCATGGCATGGCACGATCCGTCGCTTCCGATCCGACGTGGCCGGTTGAAAATGGCCCTTGTCCAGGAACATGTACGTCGTACGTCGTACGTTGCTGCTTTGATTTATTCCGTCGGACGAGACGAGACACCGACCGTGACGGCGGACGAACCATGACGGATGTGTCGGAGTCGGACTTGGATGTGGCATCACTTTGCGCAAAGTGTCCTGTTTGTCATACATTGTAACTTGCGTTGAAAGCCACGGCACGGTATCTGGTATCATGTGCAAAGTCCGGCCCCGTAGCCCCCTGTGTATTTTGTGTATTTTGCATCCAGGTCAGAATGCCGGGGACCACCCAGGAGGACAGTAGGGTTTCGGAGTCAATGCACAAAAGAGGGCGAGCAGGGAACGAGGGCATTTCATCTTGAATGTGTATTACGACATAGGGATGCCTCCACGGAAAATCAAACCTGGTCATGACGTATCGCAGCCAAGTTTCCGAGAGACACCGGCCGCTGTCGACAGAAAGTGGCGAGACGAAAGCCGATCCAGGGCTGCGCAAGATGTGGTCGTTGTCCTTTGCCGTCCTTGCTTTCCCTCCGCCCTCCGCTGACGACGACACACACGGCCAGTCCGCCGTGGTGGTATTTTATTACACCTCGGCTTCTGTCTCGAGTGGGGGGACCAACGTACGACGCATCGTGACCCCTATTCTCTTCGCTTCCGGCATGGAGACGACCTGTCGTCAAGTTGCATGTTCACATCGTTCGCGCTCGGCGCGGCATCCCCAAAACGGCAACGCCCACGGCCGCTGACCAGTGCCATTGGTTGTCTCTTGTCTCACGCGAGAGACGATGGACGTTGGGGGCCGGCACATTTCATATCCAATCGCCTTTACCCGTCGCATGATGTTGGGTCCCCGTGCCAGGTCATTTCCCATCCATACCAGTCCAGACAGCGGAGAGGAAGGCCAAAGAAGGGCGTCGTGAAAATGAAAAAGTCCTGGAACATCGACGCCTGCAGGGCCGTCATGATGCAGACCACTCAACATGGCGATGGGCCGCATCGACATCGTGCTCTGAGCGTGCAGCGAACGGAACGCAGAACAAAGGGCAAAGGTCCAAAGGAGCAGTGATTGGCGTGGCTGTCTCTCCAGTGGCCCTCGGGTATTTCTACATGCAGTCTCGTCTCGTTGTCGACCAGAAAAGGGCCATGTTTTGTGACAAGTCATTGTCAACGGCATTCTGTGTTCGCATGGCCCGTTGCACTATTCCGTATTCCGCACGATGCACTCGTTCCATTCCTGCTTTCTTTTTGCCCAGCCCTTCCTTTGCGTGGCAAATACTCGGTGGTGGCCGTTCTGTCCTTTGAGTTGACTGCCAACATTATATCTCGATCCTTGCGTATGTTCATTTATCTTTCGTTGGCAGTTTCACTTTTGGTCCATTTTGGGCCTCGTGCATATCCTGTGCCCTTTCATGGATACAATCGACGACGTCGTCCTCTGTTATCTGTCACTTTTCATTTTCCACCTCTACAGGTACTTGCATGCTTTCTTTTGCTCCTCGCTTGTTTCCTCTTGGCCTTTTGCTCAAGGTAATGCATTGCTTTTTCAAGTTAGCCGCGTTAACCCAGACCAAGGTCGACAACACACCCCATGCTCCTCCTTGTGAGCTTGTCCAACCATTGTCCAACCATTGCCCACAATGGCCCACCCCTGTCCACTTTTGTCCTGTCTCCTGTCAAACTTGCCTTGGCTATCTGTTCTGGTCTTGTTTTCCGGCTGTCCTCCTGATAAAATGACACACACCTCTTCCCCTCTTTTTTGCATTATTTTTATTATTTTCATTGGGGAAGGGGGACACTCTCCTGCCATTGGTCGATTTGAAAAATGGAGGGCGATCATCCTTTTCCTGTGCCTTGTCTTCCCTTGTCCGACACGCCCTGCCCATTGCTTTTGTATTTTTTTTGGCCTTGTCTCTGTCCTCCGTACAGGTTCTAAAATCTGGGGAAAGTAGCATTGAATTCTTCGGTGCTTGCTGTGTCATTGTTAGCGGGCAGTTCCATCCAGCTCGTTGGTGGTGGCAGAGTTGAAAGGCCATCCCGCGACTCTCCTCGAGCCCTCCCAACACAACGGAGGTGCTTCGGTACACACGAGACCAAAGGAACCCTTTCTCCTAGCCTGTTTGAGAACGTGCCCGTCGTGTGGCGCCTCGCAACGGGAGACGTTGCTGTCTGAAATGGTGATCTTGGTTAGCTGACGATTTTGACGATTTTCGTTCTCGGATGCAGAAAAGCAAGACAAGCCACGGAACGGCAGACGAAAATAAAAAGAGACGAAAAGGGTGGCAGGGTGGCAGAGTGGTACATCTGCCAAGATGCCAGACACACAATCCCGACGATCGAAACCATGCGTCTTGCCCTTCCTCTGTTTATGTTCATCCTGGCCCCCATTTGTCTCCCTCGTTTCTGACTTTCATATCATTTGGCTCTGTTTCGGACGATCCGTTCCGACCATTTTTCTTCTTGCTGTTCTTGCCATCTGGCACGCAAAACACGCAACGCTCGAATCCTTCGTATTTCGGGAGAACCGCGAGACAGTGAGGAGTAATTGCGGGAGTACGAATGGTCAGGAGCCTCACGATGTGTTCACTCCTTGTTACTCCTTGTTGCTCCTTGTTGCTCCTTGTTACTCCTCTCGGTCGGGTTATGCACCTGCGTGCCAATATTGAAATGTCACTGTCTCAATCTCTCACGTTTGGCGTGTTCATCTTCTCCAGGCCGGGCATTTGGCGTTTAGCCTCTCTCTTTTTGTTCGTCGAGTCTGTTCCCTGGACAAACAAGGGCTAGTCAACACGTCAAGTCGGCGACCACAGATAGTGCCATGGCCGCTCCCTTGCACTAAAGCGTCCCAAGTGACCCAAAGACCAGCAACTACTGTGTAAGCGCCCCAGAAAACAAAAAGACCGGCCAGTGGTAGCGCTGGCTGTGTCCGTACGGGCCGCGAAAAGTGGAGATACCCTTGGTCTGGCTTGTTCTTTGCTGGTGCCTCTTCTGTTGGGCTGCGAGGTGTGGAAGGAGATCTGTCCGCTGCGTCGACTGACGTCGTGTAGAGACAGGCGTCGGAAACACATGGAGGTTCACCAAGGAAACCGTCACGACCGTAGACCCCTGCTCGTTGATCGGAGCACGGAGTATGGAGAATGGAGATGGAGAATGATGTCCAACGAGTGTGTTGTTCACGTCTGCCGGGCAAGAGGACAGACTTGGACACAGGCATACACAGGAACCGCCACAGGCGCAAAGATGTGTCGCGCCAGAGAAGAGCAGAAAACAGGCAGGAATCACGACGAGGGGAGCGGTCGACGAGGAGGAGAACAAGTCGTCCACGACATTGGCACTCGAGAGACTTGCATGAACGCAAGAGAAAGTATCGTCGAAACAGGACTCGTACGCTAAGAGTAAGAGCGTGGCCAGACAATGTGGACACAATGTGGACACAATGTGGACACAATGTGGTAAAAGGTGTGGGAGGTGGGTGGATGGAATGCCTGTGAGGACGTCTGCCTCGTTTTCAGGGCCAAGAATGCGAATGGTGGATAGGCAAGACAAGGGACCTAGGCAGTATGCGAAAAAGGCATGGTTGGCTTGCTAGACTGTGCAAGATATGTCCAGGGCTGTGGTTGGAGCGAGGAGCAGAGTAGGTCAGGATGGAGGTGCAGCTGCAGAGAGAGAGTGTGTGAGAGAGTGTGTGAGAGTGAGGGTGTGCAGACGCTCTTCGTATCTTCTGAATGCTCCCTGCATCTGGCTGCAGCTCTCCCAGGAACAGCAGGCCTTCTCAGCTTCGCCTGCTGCCACGCAACGCAACACAGACATGACGCTAGTGAAAGACAAAGGTTGCAGACAAAAGGTCCTCCGCGTCTGTCTTCTCATCACTTCCACGTTAAACCCAAACGAGCGCATGCGTCCCTCGAAAAGCCACGCCACCCTGTAGCTCCCAGACGCAATGCAACCTCGCAACGACAAAAGCGACACACTCGCAAATGCAATGCAGCTACGACGTCCAGAAAATGTGAAAAATGACTGAATTTCAGCAAATCAAAGGAGCACTCGCAAACAAGGAGACGACTGGAAAAAGAAAGCATCCCCACGCTGCGGTTTCGTCGTCCTCTTCTCCATGTACAGGTAGCTGTCCTCATGGTTTCCTCCGCCGCCCAACCCTCGTCGTCCTCCTTTCTTTCATGAATTTGTACAACTTACGAAGTAGTTGACCATGTTCCCCACCGCGGATACTGCGCCTAACTGCATACGACGCATCGTGCACGTAGGAAGGAGGGCTGCGTGAAATAAGACAAAAAAGGAGAGGGGTGGGAGGCGAGTTGTGTTGCAGTGCATCTGTTTTCCTATTCTTTCGACGTGGGTGTGCAGTCTTGAGAGATTCTGCATGCTTGTCCGCGTGCACGCAGTCCCTGCTTTTGCTGGGAATTGTTTCCAGACTGTTTGTCTTGCAGCAGGGGCAAAAGTCTGGGGAGGCGGCCAGAGACAGGGGTTTGTTGGAGGTGGTCAAAGCCGATGAGACAGACAGGCAGACAGGTCAGGGGATGCTTGTTGCGCGACGGCTGCGAAAATCTGTTTCTTTTTCTTTTCTTTTTTTTTCTTTTTCTTTTTCTTTTTCTTTTTCTTTTTCTTTTTCTTTTTTCTTTTTCTTTTTCTTCTTTTTACAACACATACGATGATGTATCGTGACTCTGTCATCCCGCGCCCCTTGCTTTTCTTTCCTTTTACTGTGTATGCTCCCCTTTTTACCTCAATTTTGTTGGTCTCTTGACCACTTGCCCGTCTGCGCCGTATGCACACCAGAGGGATTTTTGTTCGGGGGCGTCGCAGCAACGACGAGGAGAGACCTTCCAAATCTCGCTTACCAAACAAGACGAGACCCCCGTGGCCACTTTGAGGTGCGTTGTTTGGCTGTGCGGGTGTCTATGGGCTGTCCAGCGCCCAAGTGCAAAACAATTGTGCCAAAAGGAAGCAAAGATACGGAGTACATGCTATGCGAGGAAGCTCAAGAACTCCGCATGCGGTTATAAATGGCGCGGCTGAGTTGTAATGACGGAATGTGCTCGAGGTTGAGCTCGAGGTTGAGCTCGAGGTCGAGTCTACTCGTTAATTTAGGTCAGTTGTGTCCCAGTGTTGTGTGTCTGGTTTCTCCTGGTTCATCTCCGTTTTTTATTCGCCTCCCGTGTTATCTGCTTTATTGCGGAGTGTCTCTGGCGTTCGTGCTCGTAAAAAAGTAAAATTGACTTGTCTCAATGACAGCGTTCTCGTATCGTTGCCCCATTTTCCAATCTTCCTCTGTCTGTTCTAGCTCTGTCTCACAACGACACCCGGGCATGCCATTCAATTTCAGAAAACGACGCTGCGAAGGAACACAGCGCGTGGTTAGCGTTGAAGGGCAAGGGGACGAAAGAAAAAAGGTGCTTGAAGAAAAGGGATAGAAGAAAACAAAACAGACAAACCCGTTACCCGCGTTCTGCCACTGCGAGAGACAACCACCCCCTGGACACATAAAATGCGATGGACCTTCGAGCCTTGCTATCGGACGAATCAGACCCCTGCATCTCTCTTCTTTGCTATTTTAGTAGCCGCCCCAGAGTACCGTTCGACATACAATTTACAGCTACAGCCATATACGTCGTATTTTGACAGGCTCGACAAGCTGTCTTTCCTACGTCCTTGTTGTAAGGAATGCTGCCCATCTCTGTCCAAGGAGAAGGAGGTGCATGTTTGTTGCAGCAACCGTTCAACAACCCAGCTGCGGCCCCCGAATTGTCCCGCCAGCCTTGTCGTTTGCACGCAGGCAAAAGAACAAGAGCAAAGGAGACGGGATTCAAAGCAAGGGACACGTATCTGTCTGATGGTAAAGCATTTAGTCACGAGCTTTGTCTCGAGATGTCTCTCCCAAGCTTGCCTTGCTTCTCCGTCGCGCGTCTCCATCTGCCCGTCTCTGCTCTTTTCGTTCCCCCTTGTGACGTGCCTATTTCATTGGGCAATTCGGTTTCCCCCGAAGCCTTTCCGTGCACCAGCATCCCCACCGGGTACCTACCTCATCGGCCAGGGCACTCTGTCGACGTTCATGCACCGGACGGCACGCTGCATCCGTCGTCAAGTGACAGAGGAACATGCTAGGCAACTAGCCCCTTCTGTTTCTTTCCGACTTGGTAGAAAAGAGGTGTGGGAGGGTTACGAGTAAGTCAGCGCAGCAACAAGCAGAGCCAGAAAGAAGACTGCCTGACCGAAATGACGAGTGCTAAGGACCATAGACAAGGGCGGTGGTGGGTAGCAGCCAGGCTGGCCAGCCTCAAAGACAGCTCAAAATGCTGCCTGCAGCACGCCCCAACAGCTGCAGGATAGATTCAGAATATATTGTGCTGCATAACAACCGCAGCAAAGAGCTCAAAGGGGACGAGGCACACCCAAACAAACGTCGTAAACATAAAAAGAAAAGAAAAAAAAAGAAGGAAAAAAAAGAAAAAAGAAAAAGGCTTGGCAGAAAAATACGATATAAATGAGCCGCCACTTGTTTTTTCCTCCTTCATTATTGTTGCCCGGCTTACCCCTCCTGTCCATGCAGATGGCTCGTTTCTGTTTAAAAGTGTTGTTGCTTTTGTTTGAAAAAGAGTGCAGCGTGCATTGCATGTCCAGAAGAGGGTACATGATGTAGATTGACAGCCAAGCTTCAAAGCTCAAAGGACCCCATAACCAAAAGGGCGTCCCGTCTGTCGTTCATACGGCCAATGTCGAGGACAGGGCCAATCAGACACTGAACACAGCTGGGAGCCCTCTTCGACGTCGTGAAGAGCCTTGGAGAATGTGGGTGGAGACGGGCAACCAGGGCGCAGAGGAAAATAGACACCGCATGGGTGGCGCAACACCCGAGAGACCACCCCCACCGGCCAATGGCGATACGCTGCTCAAACACACGACTTCTGTGGACAGTTCCTTTCGCATCGAGGCATCCTCGGATGGCTGGAGACGCGACGAAATAGCAGACCGAATGTCGTAATATTACAACAGTCGGCAGGCGGCAAGGAGGGAAGGAGGGAAGGACTGCGCGCTCCTGGTTGGTCCGACGCCCTGAAACGAAATCAGAGCTGTGTACGATGTACAGAATAGAGGAATTGGCAATGGTACCTCGCTTTTTTCTGACGTCCTGGGCAATCATACAAGGGTCTTTCGCGGGCGGTCGCCAAAATGAGAAAATCGCCTTGATGACAAAAAGAGGCCACTTTTATCTCACCACCCCATCGCGCCTTACTGCCTTACCATGATCACCGCCAAGCACGAAAGGAAAGAGAGGGAAAGGGCGGCCTAAAAACAAATGGGGAAATAGGCAGGCTCCAGGGAGGCAGGCACCAAAAAATGGCACAAGAAGAAAAAGAAAAAAGAAAGAAGAAAGAGCAGAGCGGGCCTGGTGGGTCTGGACCACAAAGTAATTCGTAGGGACAGATACTCTTTCAGGGAAGGAGCCGCTGCTGAGGATAGAAGGCGAATGTTGCCCAGTTTGGAAGGAGCGTGAGGCGCGGGACGAACAGGTTCTCTGAGGGCGACATTGCGACATATCTTACGACGTATTTCGTACTATTCCATCCTCTAGAGCGCCTTGTTCGCTGATCAAGATTGACGGCAACCAGGGGACAAGAGCACTGGCATCGAGAAAAGGAACTGAACTGCCCCCACCGAGTGCGCGACATCCCGTTGTTTCCGTTTTCCGTGCGGCGCCCGGAAAAGGCGACCTTTCCTCCCCTTTGTGTCCGAAATGCAACCATTCGATGCGTTCAAAAGGCTCAGAATAAAAGGCTGGACCCTGTTTCGCAGAGTGGGCTGACCTGCTGCTCCCAATTGCGGGTTGTTCGCCCTGCGTTGTTGTCCTCGCTCCACTGGTTTCGGCAGACACTGCCTCCGCAGCTGTGGGCTGGACATTTGCAACACTTTTGTCTCTCCTGACCTCGTCATCCACCAACAGTGTGCACGTTGTAGCTGGGTTGCAAACAAAACATGAAGAATTTTCAGTTGTGAGACATGGGACTCGGTTGGAAAAGAAAAAAGAGAAAAAAGAGAGCTCCCTCATTTCTCCGTTTTATTGCCTCACCTTTGTGCTTACATTTTCTTCGGGCCTCCTTGCATGGTCGTTGAAAGTTTCGGTTCCGTGAAAGGAATCTTGAATCCACATTGACAGTCATTGTCAACGGACGATGAGGAAAGATGTGCACGCAAGCGAACAGCTCACATAAGACATGGCGCACGAGCGGGAAAAGGGAACGACAAGTATGACAAGTAGCATAGTAAGATGCAATGGGCAGATGCCAGATTGCTTTTTTTGAGGGGGAACATTCTATATCGCGTTGCTGTTGTTCGTCGCTGTCTTACTCTCTGTATCCTTCACGATAACGGAAACACGGAGGGACGACGAGAGTGAAAACTAGCTCGCACAGAACTCGGTGGCTTTGTTGACCCCCACGCGCTTTTCGGCCTGGAGCCTCTCCATTCCTGAGACTGTACAGAATATGGCGTATGTTCCACCGACGGACGATAAGAATCACGCTGTCAAGCTGTCCGTTTAACCAGCCATTCTGTGTCTCTGGTTCACACCCTCTCTCTGTTCAATTCTCGCCCTCTTGGTTTCCTTGCAGCAGCAAATCCCTTCCGTAACCCACAATATGAGAGACAAGCATGCGTTCCCAAAACGTCAACGCCTCACACCCCCTCGCCTTCATGCCGTATCATCACGACCCAGCTGTCTATCATGCGTGCAGGATGTCTTGGAAGAGCGAGGTACGTCGTAGTAAATCAGAGTAGGGGCGTGTTGTTGGTGGGTGCCACGGCCAGCCTGCGGCGTCGTTGATGCCGTGTGTTCATTCTTGTCTTTCCCTTTCCCGCAAGAGAAAGAGGTCACAAGCTCAACGAGTCTGGTGACGTTGCAAACGAGAGACCTCTGAGAAAACGTGACACGTTGAAAAAATATAGGTGTATTTTTTAATGTTTTTAGATTTTGTATGTTTACAATATCGTGGCATGCGCGACAAAGCGAACCGATTATTTTATTTGTTTATTTATTTTTATTTTTTTAAAAAAAAGATGGCGCCATTTCGAGTTGAAGGCTGACTGAGTCCACGGAAACTAGAAGACTACATAATACAGTCAAGAAAGCCGAAAGCCTCGTTCTCCGATGCGAGGAATGGCGTCGGACAACAAAAGAGCAGAGAGCGAAAGGAGCACACAAAGCATCGAATGCAATTGACGAGTCACGACTCACACACCTTGTCCCCATACCCGCCCGCCGGACTCGCCGTAGGCGAACCATATTGGATATTGTAAGACTTAACTCCTGCAGGTCCAGTGTGTCGAGCCTACGAATGTACAAGGCCTGGCCCCCAACCCGAAAATTTTCTCTTCCTCCCCTGGCTCACTGTTGCATTGTATGCCTAGGGCTTGCGACAAGCCACCAACGGACGACTCTGCTATTGTTCAGTGTTATTGCCTTTGGCTGAAAGTAGTTTGGCTCCCAAAAGACGTTATTGAACGCCAGGCCCATCTCGTGAAAGAAAACCTTTCCAGTAGAGTCCTCCACTATTATTATTATTATTATTATTATTTTTTATTTTATTTTATTTTTTTATTTTTTTTTTTTATTTTTTATTTTTTTTTATTTTTTATTTTTATTTTTTTTTTTTTGCTTGAGCTTCGCCCTTTCTTTTTTTGCCTCCCTCGCTTGTATGGCGCCATTGCTTTCGGCCGTGACTGGTTTGTTGATTTGATTTTTCGATCATCGTGTCTTTCACAACATTCTCGTTTTGACTACAACTTGCACCCAGTGCAGAGTTTTCAAAAGCAAAAGGCTCACCTTCATTCAAAATGCATGTCTCTCCTAATTTGATCATCACTCACATACCCTGGCAACGGGCCTAGAAAGGGAGAAAGCGAGATGACATTATACGATACGAAGGAGGCAATAAGGAGTCCAATGTCGAAAAGGACGCAAAGGGAAAAACAAAAAGCAAAACAGCAATACAGCGAAAGAGCAAAAGAGAAGGCACAAAGGATACAAAACATAAGATTACAATAAAAGAAATTGAGCAAAGCTGCACAAGAGGAAAGCAGCGGGCACAATTGCCACACGCAATTCTCAATATCATCGCCGGGGTTGCCTCCTCGTCTTCAGCGTCCACGTCCCTCTTTGGCCACCCAGCACGGCATCTATCGGTTCATGACCGGCGATCCATCATGGGTCAGTCATTTCGTCTCTTACGGAGAAATCCTCTGGAGTATTTTCGGTCGTCTTTGGCTCAACTGCAAAAAGAACAGAATTGCCTCTTGCCAAAGAGGAAAAACGTAAACATAAGTCTCACAGAGACCAAACCCCGTCGATGGAATGTGGTCACAGATTGGCCATACATGGCCACACGTAGTGTGTGTGTCTACGAATGGACACGGCACGGGGAAACTGCATGGTCCGTAGACGCCCGTTACGATTGCCAACGTTCTCACGCGTCTTTCCTCATCGCCTTGTGTTGTCGCCGTATTATGCCGATGGCGTGGGCAGATGACGGGAGCAACCACAGGTATGGTGTGGTTCTGTGGTGCGATGGTCCTATTTTGCAAACAGCAGACCAAAAACGACCATCAGGTGAGACGTGAGAAGCGAACAAAGGGAGACGTGGGCGTGTGCATTGTTGGTAGTCTTATGCTCAATCGTTGGCAGTGAAGGCGCAAATTACGAAATCACGGATGGGACACACGAAATAACGAAATACAGCGCCTGACGGCTCCTGGAAGGCGACAGAACAGCGACGAAAATCCTCGGAGATGTGCAGAACGGCCCCTGTGCGTCCAGCGCCTTATAGGCCGCCAGCGGTCCACCGAGCGAGAGAAAAAAATTTGCTTTGTCTGCCTGCAATCTGACTCACTTAGACCCACGCCCAGTGTCCTCTTTCCCCCACAGCTGTGTGTGGGACAGCACAGAAGGGAGTCGCAGAGCGCTAGCGCCAGAGTGGATCTCTTCTTTTTTTTTCTTTTTTTTTTTCTTCTTTTTTTTTGGGTGTACCTAGATCGCACGTCACCAGCACCACAGACATACCGCATGGCGCTACCAACAACCAGTGTCCCTCCCGCCCTGAAATCCGCTTCAGCGCTTCAGGTGCTGCTTTTAGCGCAAGAGCGCTAAAATGAGGGGGAAGCACACCCATCCTCGCCATCAAACAGAGCCCGGGGCGCACAGCCCCCAAAGTGCCAGCAGATCCGAATGACCAAAAACACACCAACGTATGCTAAAAAGCAGGCTTCTCGTTACGAAACAAGAACTCATAGGCGCTGTTCGACGAAGAACGTGCCTTGCTACAGTGGAGAAAGACTTGTTTTGTGTGGTCACCAGGGCCCTCTCGTTCTTGGCTGTTTTGGTCGAGCAGACCAGCCGTCCGAGGAACGTGATCTGCTCTTTCTTTCCTTGTCTTTTGTCTCCTTCGCTCCTCCTCTCCCACTCTCCCACTGTCCCACGCCTCCTTTCCTCGCAAGAAGGGACATGGACAACAGCACGTAAGTCGTACCTGCCCATCCACGACATGCACAAGTGGATCGGAGCACATTTGAGAGTAGAAGGACAGGACAGAAAAGGGAAAGAGCAAAGAGACCAGGGGAGGGGTACGGATGCACAGAAAAGACAGGAAGGGAGGGGGGCGTGAACAGCAGAAAAAGCGGGGCTTCCAGGACTGGCTACTGCCTTCTCTGCCTTTTTTATCTTTTTTATTTATTTGGTTTTGAGAGAGCAGGCGGTCGTAAAAAGTAAAAACTGGGGGTATGGGGGTACGACATTAGGCCATACTATTTGCAAGGGCCGCTAAGCAGAGGTCAGTTTGTGTATGGAGCACGCCAGGGTACGTACTCTGACCTCTGTGACTGGCGTATGTCCAGCAGCGTGTGAATCCCAGTATCCTTTGTATGACGGTCCAAACATACAAAATAGATGCTTCTCCCACCTCATCCTTCTCTCCTCTCCTGCTCCCACTACAA